ATACGTGGTTCTCACAGGCAGCAAAAAAGCTACACACATAGGATGATCTAACATACTGTAATAATTCATTTACATAGATTAAACTACCTCACAGAATATTATGTAGTTAAAATGAGCATGGCACCTAGCAATTAGTTTTATTATCGGTTAATGAAAATCTCAGTTTTCTTATATCAAACCCCCTGAAGTGTTGGCTTCAACTGATTAGTTTAATTATTTTTATTTATTTTAATATTTGAATTATCATTTGACTCATCTGCTGATAATTTACCATTTATGGTTTGGCCTATGAAATGACAGAAAACTGTTAACATTTCTACAGTTTGTCAAAGCCAATTCAATTCAATGTTTTGTCAGTCAAAACCACAAACTCACTTTCAAATAATATGAAACAGAGCAAAGCAGGAAACGTCAACCTATTCGGGATTTATTGAGATGGCTCTAAGCACAACCTTAACATTTACAACTGTAAAATGCAGATAGCACATTAATGTAGTAGCTTTACTTATCCATTAAACATATCATAGTAAAACACTGACAGGCTTTTACTTGTAGTGGGAGTATTTTGACATTGTGTTAATTGTACTTTTAGTGCAGTAGAGGACCTGAACATACTCACGTTGTCTGTAGCAGTGCTTTCCTTCGTCCCCGTCTGGCCCCCGCTCAGCTCCGCTATATCCGCACGGTCACCAAGGTCACCAAGGTCACTGCCGTACAGCAGCTCCTCCAGGGCCTGGTCGTCTGCGGACATCATGATTGTCCTGAGGAGGAGGTGGGGAAATAATCAGTCCACTTGGTAATCACAGCCGTCATTAGAGAACTAATAACACACACTTAATGTCCCTATTAATATACAACAACAACATCCAGACCCAACTGAAGCTACTGTGACAAGGCTGTTCTCTTTCTGTGAAATGTGTTTACTTATGTTTCGTTTTTCTTTTTAAATATGTGGTGGTTATATACAGTATGTAAGAAAGCTTTACAGTTGCATACTATACGAACTGTAGATGTTCACAACCACCAGACTGACTTCCACATTTAAAGGATTTTTCTAAGACTGTCAACCATTTTGAAATGTAAAGACTCACCATTTGGCAACATTGAATTTAAATTAAACACATTCCACACATTTTGACATCACTGGCTCACTCAATCTTCATTTTCAATGTATTACTAGTTTGAAGACTAAATAGTTTAGAGTCTCTATAATTGTTTGACTGTCTCTCCATCTCTTCAACACAACAATATTATATGTATCAACAGTTGGGAAAACTAGTTTCTGAACATTCCTGAAATAAAAATACTTTTAAATCTTGATTTCTTAAATTATACCGAAATATGTTGTGCAAATAATGTTTATACTGATCTTTAATATTAAACGTCAATGTACAGATCGGAAAGCTGTTTACTATTGCTTTTTAAGAAGTTTTAATTAACAGAGAAACAAAAAACGAGGTATACATTTATATTAGGATGAGGTCAACATATTCAGATCATTCCATAGGGGTATGAGTGCTGTTACCTAATATAAAGATTATTTATATTTCACCAATCTTGAATTCATTAGAGGGAAAAATGTGTTGAGATATTCAGTAAAAGCAAGACAGTCACTATGATCTGTGTTCATCAACAAACTAAACACTTCTGACAAATCCGAAAAAGTGAAAAATCCAAAATGCAAAAGTTATGTGATAAAAATATAGATGTACTCAGTCCTTAGCTCCTACTTTTGTTTTTCCACTGACATAAACGTGTCATCCTTTTTCAATCAAATGAAAGAGGATCTAAATATTGAGATGAAAGAATCAAAGGTTTATTTGTTCACACTACTGAGCCTATATTGGAATGAATAGCTACATATTTAGCTATAAAGAATAACGATAAGAAATAGGGTAGAAATAAGAATATCAAATATACAGATTTACTGTTGACATTCGGTCAAACAAAACCAGACATTTAAAAACTGTAATTGGCAGTTTTCACCCTTTTTTTGTAGATAAATAAGTAAAAAGAATTGCATCCTTCACTTTTTTCACCAAAGGTAGAGCGAGGAAGGAGGAGATCAAAAACTTCTTACCTTGTCTCTCGTTGGTCTCCACTGAGGGAGCTCCGTGTGAACCCTTCAAACGACACCAGAAGATCTCACCTTTCCGTTAGAGCGTGCACAGACTGTGTGAGAATTAAACTTTTTGTTGCCCTCCCTAATGTCTTCTTTATTGTCTTGATCTTGTGGTTTTGGGATCAGTTTCCACTCTTTCCTGTGAGAGCTGACCTGAGATCTGCTCCACATCATCCTCCACCAATCACAGACCGAGCACCTGCACTGACCCCACCCCACTGCCAGTCCCAGATGACCCCCCGGCATACACCTGTAAACAAGAGGCGCAGGTGGCTCAGAGGGCCGGTAGAGAATGATCTGATTGGCCGCCAGATGGTTTGAGGGGGGGGCGGTGCACCCTAGGGACCAATTAAAAAAAACAAAGGGTGTTTAAAAGGACGTCTGGGATTTGCACTCGAGCATGAAAAGACAACGACAAGAGCTTTTCCCCCGGTCCCTCGGCTGTGTTGGACCTAACAGGTTTCTCCATTTCAAATGTTTCTCCCGTTTGATATCAACCATAGAGGCGAACATTTGATTTAATTTGCCTTTGTGCAAAATGAAGACAAAGGAATAAAGGAAGGAATAAAGGAAATCATCTCGTTTATTCACAATATAAATTGACTTGAAACCCATTAGAAACGAAAGGGAAACAAAAGATGAACGTAACAACAATCATAACACTGTACAGTACCATAGTAAAAGTGATTTTCATAAAATGTTAAGAGCCCGAAATCAAACTCATTTGGACACATTTTTGAAACCTTTGATGACCTGTCTAAAGTAAAACCTTTGGATCCAAATATGTTGAATTAAAAAACGTTTCAATCATGACAACAAAGGTTGAGGCACTGCTGGCAAAAAAACCATTATCATTCTGTCTGAAGTATTTAGATATACGACATGATGTGCTTTTTAGTCCACGATCAAACGTACATGATATAGCAGCATTAAAGAACACAAGAGATGACAGAGAGCAACCTTCTGAGCAGATGATTTAGTGCTCTTCTATCTTTTTATGGATCTCCATTTTGACTTTTTCCCCGAGGAAACCTTCTCATCCTTGAAGACAGCATAACAGCTGATAACTTATGTGTACGAAGCATAACTGCTGGTTCTAACATATAGACAATAATTAGCCAGAGGGAAAATATTGTTTTACCAATGTGATGTAAGATAGTATAAATGTCTTTGAATGTGTGGATGCTACACTTTAGCAGTCTGGAATGTTTCTAAAACTTCTGCTCATATTCATTTCTGATGAAAGCATTGAATTATAACCATTAATAAAGCCTCACTCAAATCAAAGCTCTGTCTTTGGGACCAGGGCTGTGAACCATGGACCCCGTCCCCCGGAGCCGGTTTTGGGGGCTGACATTTTGGGATGGTGCCCTTCCACCAGCTGACTGTAGAACTGTGAGGCATTGTCTCGGACACAAAGATCATTAAGTAAAGAGGAGGGAAGGTCTGGCTGCAAACTGGAAGACACTATGTGATTTATATTGCAATAATAATACTGAATATTGGCATGCAGTAGATATAATAAATAAATTGTTATACAACTCTACTGACTGGTAACTTTCGTTTTGGAAACTACAATCAACTAATAATAGAGTAGCCTACTGTACTACACAACTCAGTAATGCAACATAACCTGCAAATATTAACCTTACTTTTCCAACAAGGGACATTTTTCCACGAGTGATTTTAGTTACTTTTAAGTAGCTACATGATGCTATTTCTTTAAAAGTAACTTTAAAAGTAATAGCAGCTACTCGCAGAACGAGTAGTATTTTTTATCCACCTTTAAGTCATGTTGGGTTGTATTTTGCTCATGATACTCATTACTTAATATGATGAGATAAACATTTACGATTTGACATATGTTACTGAGTACTTTTAGAATATAAATTGCTACTATTGCTAATATCTTCCACCAATGCCGTTAACATGTGGAGCTGCATGCTAGCAATTCAAGTTAACTTTAGCCCCTTGGCTAGCTAATTTTAACGTTAGCATAACATTTAAATACGACACATCACAAGAAACATACTCTATGACGTTATAGTAACTCATTATATTAGTCTTTCCTAACACGTGAACATTTTATTAACATATTGGTGGAGTTTATTCAACTTTTCAGCTTAATATGAATGAAAATATATCAAACTAAATAAGCCAAAGCTAGCTGCTAAACTAGTTTAACGTTAGTTTATTTAATTTGAGATAACAGAGACAAATATTATTATTTTATTAACTCATCAAAATGAACACCTCTGCATAATTGTTTACGTTAGATTTGTTAAATGATACTTTTACTTCAACATTTGAATGCAGCAATTTTAATTGTAAGCACTTCTTCATGGTATGCCTATTAGAAAAGTTACAGAAATAATAATACAATTAGTAAGAATAATAATACAAAAGGTCCTCATATATAATTTCCCCCCAACTATGTTGCCTAATTAGTATTTTTACGAAAAAGTTATTAGCCCATGCAGCTTTCAACTTTAATTATTTATTTATTTTAAGGCTTTGCAACACTACATGATAGTAAGACATGGAGATATTTACCTAAAGACAAAGAAGACGTACAGACTCAACTCTCCATCACTTACCTGCTTGTAGTCTGGGTTGTACTGTAAACTAGGCTATTTCATTAAAGGGCTGCAGTGCATCTGACATATGTTACAAAAAGCAGCAGGGGGCGCTGTTGAGCTTCATATCATGAAGAGTTTCTAGGCTTCAAAACTCAAACCAGATCCTCTTGTTTGGTTTCATTTCAGGTGGATTTCATCAAAAATGGCTTTAACACATTTGCAGAACTTGTGAGGTAAACACACAATGTAAATGTTTTTTCTTTTAAGCTACAGAATGAAGTCAAACATACCATGAGCTCAAAACAATTATTTATTTCCTGAATAGTAAACATTTTGCAGAGAAAAGGATTTTGCACGACCAGCGGCCAGCAACAAGATATAATAATGATTCTGTATTTTACTGCATGTATAACTCTTTGAAAACTGGCTGATATTTATTTACAAAACACATACAAAAACACTGAGAAGTTGTAGTTCTGGTACATAATTCTAAAAAACTAAATGTGGTTAAAGTGCTGAAAACACCAGATATCACATGAAAAAGTGATCCTGCATTAAATGTGAAGTTTCAAATGTCTCAAAAGGTCAGCACACAAAACCAACACTACCCTTTTGGCTTGAAAATATTTAACCGTTCAAAAAGTGGATAATCAGATTTCTTTTTTTCATATTGGGCCTTTTAAATGTAGATATAATCAATATAACTCACACGCCAAATGTCATTTTTGTATTTGAAACAATTTCGGCCCCATATGATATAAAAGGAAATTGTTCCAAGCAAAAGTGACCCTCGATTATTATTGAAGCACAACGGGTTCTAAATATAGTTATCATTCTTCAGGCTACATGCAGGCTGCTCAGTGGTTACATTGAAGAGGATTAAAATGTGATTTGTTATTCTTGAATATTTTGAGCTGATAGTCCCTGTTCCAGTTAAAATAGAGTGGTACAGTGATGGCATTTTTTTGTACGCCAAACCGGAAGTTAGTTACACAAGGGCTCCCTCGACAAAAAGCAAAGGGATTTTTCCACTGGAGTTTTGAATTTTGTAGATAACAACATATTTGGTAAACACAGGTTTATGATACCGTAAACATTTTCAACAGAATAAACTCCAGTACAATTGGCAGAAGTAAAAAGCTAATATTATGTTACTTATAAACGAAACTACGTCACATGATTTCACGTTACCACCGCTAAGCTTTGTTTACAAAATGTGAAGCTTGTGTTAACCGCTGACCTTATTTCAAGCAGAGAACCAAAAACATAAAAAGAAAAAGGAACTGCATGTGGTATAATGCTAACTAATTTCTGTGTATAAGGACTCATTCCTGCTCAACCATACAGACCTTCTCCTGGCACTCTCCGTGCGAACTTATCATTCATTTCAAACATCATCCGTCACATGCTGATGTGATCCAGATGTCTGTGTTCTTTGAAAACGTGTGGGCCTGAAGAGCCCTTTTAAGATGACATACTGAGATGTAGAACAAATTTTGCTTCAAGTTTAACCTGATGCTAACCCGTAGCATCTGTAACTTATCCTTGACGTTAATGTTAGCTCACGAGTCACGACAGCGGCCATTTTCTTTCCATCACTAGCTGCATAGCCTTTCACTAACGGCCCGTCCACACACAGGCATGAAAAAAATCTTGAAAAATCTTGATGTCTGAAGCTTGGCGATTTCACGCGCCCAAGGCGACCAACAACCAATCAGGAATCTCCCAGGAATCTCCCGCCCGCCCCCGGCATACAAAGCCTGTCCATTCAATGTTAAAACGAAGTAAACTGGATATAAACTCCCCAAACAGGTGAAAACCTACCAGTTTCTTACGAACGCTTCGAACCGTAGGTCGGGTTAGTAGGGCAAATACGTTTAGGGCGGTCACGTTCGCGATCGGGTAGGTTGCGCACATTTGCATGCGTCTATGGCGACACGGCCAGAAAAGGTATACAAGTATTTTTACCTCCTATTTAATTAGTAGCGACATCCTTTACAGGGGCCAGGAAAATGCTGACGATAGTACAAAGTGGGATGCCCTGGACATTGGCCTCCTTGGTCCGTCCTCCCTCCCCGTTC